TGAGGCTGACACTATGACATTGTGGATTTACAAATATATACACCCCTCGCCACACACCGCGGCCCGCTGACCCCCAGCAGCTCCTCGCCACGGCGTTGACATGTTAGACGTTATGGAAGCAGATTACACCTGCTCATCTGGTGGTAGCGCCATCTGTTGGTGAGGACCCTCCACGCACTGGTGGGCTCTGTAGTTCACTGCGTCACAGCTGATGAAGTCCACATATTCACAGGAAACTGTTCCGCCGTTCTGTCTTCTGCTGTGAAGAACTGCTGTCACAGAACAGCGCCCCCTGCTGTCTACAGGTCAGACCGGATTGGCTGGAATCAGCGGAACTTTATACATGCCAAAAACCACCGAAGAAACGAGTGATGGACAGCTCACAACACAAGAAGTAATACAGCGATTGGTATAGCGCCCCCTAGATCAAGAGGAACTGAACTCCTTGTTCCTTTAATCACAACGACATCAAAGAACACGACGTGTATTTGAACAGAATCAGAACTCACTTCAACACTTCCTGAACTTTTATGATTTAAACTCCATGTATTCAGACTAAGAAGTACAAACGTGTGGACGGTGACAGGACGTTACCACGAAGAGTACCTTCATTAATGGAGTTTTTTTTTTTTTTTTTTTTTTTGGTTCTAAGTACTTGAAAATATGCTTTCAAGTCGTAAAGCCTCCATAATCCGCCTAAGACGGAGGAGTTGTCAGGACTACAGGCCACGTCGCCCCAAAGGTCAAAATGTCACTTTGAGTTGTAGGACCAAGTAAACAGGGCTGTTCTAAGCTTCTTGTCCCCCCCCCCCCCCCCCCCCCCCCCCCCCCCCCCCCCTCACCCTCTAAGAATGTCCTAATGACATGTGTGTATTCACACTACCATTCACACCTGCGGTCGCTGTAGAGTCAACAGTAGGTGATACTGTCTGTCCATGGTCCGTCCCTCTGTCGGAGACACTGCCGCGGCGCTGACTCATCCACCCAACCACAGGTGGAGCTATTTATACTCATTCCTCCCTGACGTGCTATTTGCCCAGCAGGCAAACAAATCTCAGAGCACTCCCTGGCACAAGCCCCTGGATTCAGCCGGGGCAATTATGTGTCTGATGGTTAGAGGTCACATGACTGGTTTGATGTGAGTTCGCAGGAACATTATACGATCACCGGGCGGCTGCTGGGAGGTGTTGACACAGGTACACCGACGTTCAGGCCATCGAAGAAGTACAACGGGGAGGGTACCTGCGGTGGCGGTCTGAGTGTAGTCAGTACACCGAGGTCTGAGTACTGCATGTACTGTGTTATACCACATACTGAGGTCTGAGTACTGTATGTACTGTGTTATACCCTATACTGAGGTCTGAGTACTGCATGTACTGTGTAATACCATATACTGAGGTCTGAGTACTGCATGTATTGAACGTGTTGTGTTCAGATGTCCCTGGTGAATCGGTTCTTCTTCTCCTGTGGTCCAGTCCCAGGTTGTGGTCTGGTCTACTAACCCGACTCACCTGGTTAGCGTTACCACAGGGACAATGGTACTGAAGTACACAGCAGGTCCTGACCTTTCAGGTTCCAGATCGGTACCGGTGCCTGAGATCTTCAACGGTGCTGGAACTTTACTGAGTTATTATTAATGATCGAGCACCGAAGACGAGAAAACGTAACAAACGACCGAGCAACGAAGGCCTCGATGCTAACAGTGAAGCTAACGTCCTCATCGGTTCCACGGTACCTCCTCAAAAACTGTTTCTTCAAGGCTTTTGGGAGCGGCAATAAAATAAACGACATGTTTTCCGAGAAGACGTGGAGCAATAATATGCAAATGATCTGTGTGTGTGTGTGTGTGTGTGTGTGTGTGTTGGCAGCAGCCGGTGCCAGTGAAGCTGTTACAACCACAGTTGTAATTACTGTTGTGGAACTGTTGTGTACCGACACACAACTGCACTGAGACTGATCTCTGGACCACCGAAGATCAGGACCAGGACCAGGACCAGGACGAGGACGAGGACCAGGACCAGGACCAGGACCAGGACCAGGACCAGGACCAGGACCAGGACCAGGACCAGGACCAGGACCAGGACACCCTCTGTGTTTTTGGGAAGTATCAGAGCAGAACACCTTCCGTAGCCAGCGCTCCGTCCTTAGACTCCGCCCATTAGTCATCAACACGCAGACACACAGACACACAGATACCTGCGGTGCTGGAAAGAATTTGGTTACAAAACGCCGTCAGCGATCTGTAGGTAATCTCCCCGGGATCGAACAGCCGCACAATGAGCAATTATTTTGTGCAATATTCCTCCCACCCACCCATCAACCTCTCCAGCTCCTCAGCTGCGACCAGCATCAGACACTAATGGTTTTCCTGATTGCACCAACGAGTGTTGAAATCAAATACTTTAATTATTACAGTACACAAACCAGGTCCAATCCTAGCCACGGTTACCATGGTTACGGATAACAACACCGCTGTTCAGACGACTGGAGCCTGTCAACAGGGTATGATCTAGAACCATCTTAGTCCTTAGACAAGACGGAGACGCAGGGTGTGACCTGAGGTCAAAGGTCATTCTCCAGAAAAGTTTTATGTTTCCTATGATCTAATCACACACAAGTGCACTGTGTGTTTTTTGATTAGTAAATATATACACTGAATGTGTTTGGTGTTTCAGGTCAAAGGTCAATTCTCTTCAATCCTATTGATCTGTCATTGACTAGAATCTGATCAACTCTGTGACTCGTTCAGTCAGGACCAGGAACCGATCCCACTCTGTTGAAGCTCAGCTCCAGTGGATGCTGATTGGATAAATAGACTGACCCCCCCCCCCCGAACCCCCATCAGAAATAACGAGTGTCTGGAGCTGGAACTTTAGAAAACTTTTTAATTTTACACTGACTGTACAGCTGACAGGAAAGATTCTCAAACACAACCTAAAAATAACTTTGATATTAAATAGAAACTAAAACAAAGATTAAAAAAAAAACAAAAACAGAAGAGTTTATATGTTCAGAACAGATTGAAAATCACAAACGTCGTACCCTGATACAGTGGTCGGCTTTTTTTTCTTTCTTTTTTTTTTCTTTTTTTTTTACATATTATGCAAAAAAAGTGTGGTGTTGTACACAGTAATTCAATGGCCTGGTCACCTTCATACACAACACCCCCACCTTGGCCTCTTTGGTTTTATTTATCAAAATACATTTCAGATAAAATTCAACTTAATTCTATAAAAATAACATTTCAATGGCAGTTTTTCTTGTTGAACTAATCCTGCAACTTTTCAGTGCAAACATTACAACAATCGTTGGCTTCGTAAAGAAAGCAGACGATTACATTTCAAGTATTGGTAAAGAGGTGAGACCGTGAAGGAAACAGAGGGGGGCGGGGGTCGGACCCAGTCCCAGATCCCGGGGCCCGGGGCCCGGGTCCTGGAGTACGGATACAGGTTTCTATACATTGCATAGCTCGTGTGGCACTAACGCAGCGACGGAGAGGACACGCAGGTCAGGAAGGCATTCTTTAAACAAGTGCTAACAAGGTTGTGCATTTAGGTTTGTGTGTGTTCGTGCTGAACTGGACCGTGACCACAGAGTGGACCGAACCTCTGGACTCGGGGACCGCGGTCTGTGTGTCCGCAGTACCGCTCGCCTCCACTGGAGAGGAGCGCCCAATAAGAAGCAGGAAGTGGAATTCCGCCTCCGTCCGGTCGTCACGTGGCAGAGCCGTAGCTCTCTGGACAGACTGAAGGGTCGAGGTCCCTGAGTCCCCCTGGAGGTCAACGATGGGAATGGTTCTGTGTGAGCCGCTGCCGTGACACTACAGTCCACCAAGAACCAAGAGTCTGAGAGACAACAACAACAGTCGGAACCGTGTCAGTGTGAGGGGGGGACAACAGTCGGACCGACTGTGTCTGTAGGCGGTGCAGTGAAGTGCTGGTGTTCTGAGTCAACGTCAGTGCTTCGTCCGAAGACAAACTAAACTAAAGTCCCGCATGTGCTTTACGTTTTAAAAAAGAGTTGTGAGGAGCAGCTGTGGGGTGTGTGCGTGAGTGTGTGTGTGTGTGTGTGTGTGTGTGTGTTGTCCTCTCAGTCTGTCTCACCGTCTACCTTCATTCAGAGGAGACGAACGAACCATTAAACCAGAGCCCAAATATCGGTCGGTGATAACGTTTCCTTCTGACTCCAGTCATTCAGTCGGATTCAAACCACACACTCCTTGGTTTGCTGGATGTCTGTGTGTGTATATGAGTGTGTCAGAGTGTGTGTGTGTTGCTAGAACATACAGTAGGACTACAGATTTATACATGTTTATGGTACAACGTTTTTTTTTGTTTGTACAAAAGGCCTCTTTAGGTTCAGAGTTCAGGCGCAGCCGCACTCCTCCACGATCATGTTGGCTACGTCCCTCTTGACGATGTTGTACTCGTCGTCGAAGTACAGCATGGACATAGTACTCAGTTTGGTGGGGATGCAGCAGGAGTTGACCGAGCCCGGGCTCATGCCCCGCATGCGGTACTGGTTCACCACCGCCGTGTGGAAGGACGACGCTGAGCCCGGCACGCCCGCCATGTAGGCCGGGCAGCTGCCCTCGCAGTAGTTACCATAGTAACCGGGTGGCGCAATGATCCAGTCATTCCAGCCAATCAGGCGGAAGTCTATGTAAAACTGCTGCCGACAGCAGAGGCCTCCACTGGTGCCGTCGCACTCCAGCCCCCGCTTACGAATGCGGTGCTTCCCGTCCACCTGCCGCGCACGCACCACCAGGAACGGGCGATGGGAGGGGTCCCCCGGGTCCACCAGTACCGGGGCCACGCCCGTCGTCTCGCAGCCGTCGCAGTGAACCTCCAGGTCCTGCCTGCGACTGCCTTTGTCAAAGACGGCGCGCACCGTGTTCGCGATGGGGAACGTGTGCCAGCCGCTGCGCTTCAGTTCCACCCGCTTCTCCACCACCACCCAGTGGCCTGTGCCTCCTCCTCCTCCTCCGCCTTCTCCGCCTCCTCCGCCTCACCCGGCTCCTCCGCTCCGCCTGGATGTCCCTCCGCGCTGCCGGGCGTCTCCTTGTGGAGGATTTTGACGGTCACCTTCCTCCGCAGACCCTTCTCGGAACCAGCTGGCATCACGCGGAAGTAGAGCCACAGGTTGGCCTGGGACACGTACAGGTTCTGGTTGCCCTCGGTGGAGATGAGGAAGTACAAGCTGTTCTTGGTGGACGTGTGTCCATCTGTTAAAGACAGAGACGCAGTTTCATTTTAATGGACTCTCACTGTGCACAAGTATGAAAACTGCAGTATTTGAACACTCAGTGTGTGCACTGACATCACAGACAGTAGGTGGCGTTATTCAGGTCAGATTTTCGCCTTACAGTTAACAACACTGAGCCTCACTCCCGCCTGCGTCTCCACCGCGGGCAGGTTGACCAGATGGCGATAGCTGCGTGAGCTACGCGAGGAGCGTGGCCTCATACCAGCGCCACACAGTGGAGATAATCAAAGGCCAAATGACAATGAGTCGGACGTGGACGACAAAAAACGAAACGAAAAAACCACAAACGCACGTGACGGACCACGCCTCTGGATCTGGACCAGAGAGGAACCGGGTCGTGGTTCCTGAGGTTCCTCGTTTTTACAGACACTAAAATCTGACTGGTTTGTGTTTACGGAACTGAAAGGAACCAAAACATCTCTTCACTCCCTCCCACAAAGAGCGAAGGAACTGTTTTCCCTGCGTCAGGTGACCTCTGCCGGACGTCCTGATAGGCCAGCTGTGACGGGCCAGACCTCGGATCAGGTCCAGCTGGACTGA